GAGCCCTGAATGTGAATTGAGAGTGCTGGTAATTTGCTTTCTTCTTGATAGACGTTCGTGCAAGTCATTTGGTCTTACAATCTTCAGTGACCTTCTTTCTCCTAACTTAACTATTGTAGGCACTGAGTGAAGACCTGTAAGGAGACGTCAATTCTCCCATTTAACTGTACATGGAATGGAGTACTATTTTCTCACCAATTCCCAGTTATATCTGAAACCTTTGTACCTTTATTGGGAAGGGACCCATTATCTAGAGTAAATACTGAAGTTCTTTTCACGCTAATGCTTCAGATGGCATTAAGGAGTGGTTACTCAATGCCAGCAAGCCTTGAAATGCCCCCAGAATGAAAAAATATCGATGCAGTTGTTTGGGCCAATGGCTGGACTTCAAGAGCTAGAAGAGTTTTACCTGTAAAAATAGTATTACAACCAGGTGCACGACACCCTAAAAGAAGCCAGTATCACCTTTGTTCTGCAAGAAAACAAGGCCTACCACCTATCATTAAGTAATTAAAGGAAGCAAGAATGATTTTTGAGAAATCTTCTCTTTATAACACTCCCATCTTGGTAGTTCAGAAGCCAAAGGTAAAATGGTAAATGGAGATTACCTTTCAAGAGCTATCAATGAAATAACTCTATAGCCAGTGGTGCCCAATCCCTACACTCAGATAACTCAAGTACTCCCAGATTATTTCTCAATATTAAACTTGAAGGATGTATTCTTGACTGCATCTCTCCACTCCCAGCATGCATATGCCTTTGAGTGGAAGGACCCAGATATTGTGAGGACCAGTTAATATTTATGGTCAATCAGAAAGATAATGAGAGCAGTACTAAGTTTTTGGTTTTTTTTTAAAGTAGGTCTGACTTCATCAGAATTTGAAAGCTAAGAAAAGTTGTAAAGGTTGTGAAATGTAAGAGAAAATGAATATTCTAAGATGAATGATAAACACTGTATATCGTCTTTAGTGGAATGAATCTGACAACAAAGAGGACCTTAAGTGTGTCAGCAAATTCAACCCTGCTAGAATGACCTAGAGCTGACTGCCCTGTTCTGTGTTAGAGAGACTCTTCAACAAAATATCTAAATTGTCAGCTTATGAGACATATCTTTACACCTGTTCTTGAGGGAGCTCTGGTGACCTAATGGTAAGAAGATGCACTGCAATCCCAAAGG